AAGGAAACTGGATTAAATTTCAATTATTTCATATATTTCTGAGTCATGTAAGTATGTAAACATAAATATTATATAAAATGAAGTCATTTTTGAATATGAATAATATTTTATCACATATCTATCAATATACTATAGCATAATAATATTACTTAAAAAATCTCCATCAATTAATCATTTAATTATTTCACGGAAAAGATGGTGATAAATCGTCAAAAAAAGACGTCTTATTATGTAGCTTTCTATAAGTAAACGAATGCTAATTCATGAGCAGCTAATCTATAGTATTGAATTCTTTTTCAATCATTTTTGTCTCTCGATAATAGACATATGATTCTATCAGCACATTCATGTGTGTATCAATGATAATAATCTTTAAATGGAAAGGACTACAATAATAAGAAAATATATGATATATAATCAACAATAAATGATGATTTTTTTATCAAGATATAAAATTAAAAAATTGACATTCATAATATCTGTTCTATGAAGCTTTTCTTGCTTAGTTTTCTGACTATCTGCTTTTTCATCCTCATTTCTTCTCATTTTTGCTTCAAAACTTTTAAAAAGTCTTAATAAAATCGTTAATGATTCATAATCAATGAGAAATACTACTAATAATGTCACCCTTGCTATTAATGCAAGTGAAGCATGATATATGTATTTCAAAGAATTACTTTATTTAAATATATTTCTGAATGATATTAAAGGTATAAGTTTTCATCATATTAATTAAAACGAATATCAATCAAGAAGTAAAAACAAGATAATCCAAGTATGCAAATAAAAAATCAATAACATCCACCGTTGGATAGAATGATAGCAGTGAAATATACGATTAATATATATTCTTCAGATCTATTGATTTTTTTTACTATTCATTGGTACATGAAAAATAAATAAAATATCTGTGTGATACTCAGATATTCTCTTCGTATACTAAAGCAATGAAAATTCTATAATCGTCATAGCCGAAATTGTTTATTACTTATGTAGTATTGATTAGAATGAAACCATTGCACTTCAGACTGAAAAAACTGAAAATTTCTGTAGGTGTATATTCACTGATGCAATACTGAACGTTATTGTACTATTAGAAGTACCAGTGATGGTATAAAATAAAGTATATAAAGTAGAACTTAAAATAGTATCACTACTACACACCCACACTCAAGATGGTGTCGATATATGGTTAATATTTGTAACGGGTACTCTATTTGAAATGACTGAATCTTTGAAAAACATTTATAGTAAATGACTTAACTAATCGAACAGATATATAATTTCTATGAAAGTATATTTCTGTCCTTCTGCTTACTGTTTCTCCCAATTACAACCTTTATTTTTTATGTAAAGTAGTTTTAGAATATTTGTTATCTGACCACCAGCTGGTATAGTAGTACGAGCACTGTACTAACTTGTTCATTTATGAAACTTTATCATCTATTTTTCATACTTTCGATTAAATAGCAAAACAATGTTTTTTTACTGATTTATACTCCTTAAAAAAGATTCTGAAAATAGTACCGAGCGAAGAATCAGTGTGACACCTTTTCTTTTACACAGTATTGCGAAGTTATTCTCAGAGCAGAATAAAAGAAGAAAATTATAAGATTAAAGTCATTTTATTTCAGATGACATGAAGGTGAATAAGTACGAGAAGGGAAACAATCAATATCCATCCTAATGATAATTTAGCGGAAAGTAATGACATTTAATTATCTGTCATTTAGAAAAGCGGGGATGTACTCACTCAAAAATTAAAATTAAGAAATGTAAGGTAATTATTTACTCGTGATATACGGAAGAACATATCTGGAGAAATTTGCTTTTCGTCCCGTAAAATTATCATGTATGACATCTTCTCATAGATAAAACTTAGATATATATATGTAGTTGATTTTTTGAAAAGTAGATTAATAATTATTTCCATGTTATCACTGATGTTTGTTGAAAACGCAACTAGAACAAGTATCGAATCATGGTTTATACCTCTCGATATCATCATGATTATCTGTAACGTGTCGGCTATTACACTTGCGATCATTTTTTTAATTCTAATTATTCTTGATAGAACATGTCACACAGTTCCAATGATGCTCGTTGCTAATTCATGCTTAGCTACGCTTATGTTTGGAAGCGCGATGCTTAGTTTGACCTCGTTTACTCTTCAAAATGATCTCAAACAGATTCAATATCAATTTCCGTTTTGTGTTTTTATTGGATATGCAACTTATGTTACATGTACTATACAGAATTATTCTTTATTATTACAAGCGATTTATCGGTATCTATTAATAGTTCATCCAAATCGTTTATTCTGGCACTCATATAGAATTCAATTAATGTTTATTTGTATATCATGGATCATTGCTATTGTACTTCCAATGGAGTATTTGTTCACCGGTGAAATCATTTATAATGTCGACAATCAAATATGTCAAATGACTCTCAGATTCTCCTTCTCAGTCATATACATGGCATTTTGTCTCTTTGGCATTCCTGTCTCAATGATTATGTTTATCTATTTTTTATTAGTTCGATATGTTAAACAGATGAGCGCAAATGTGAGACCAACCAACACATTACCACGTGCACAACGAGATTTAAAAATGGTTCGACGTATAGTTATACTTGTAATGATTCTTGTCACAATTTGTTTTCCTTATCAATTATTTCTTATAATGTCATTCTTCAATAGTACACCAAAACATAATTTTCGAATTGCTTTTATATTTGGTGATACAGCAATGCTATGTGTAATCATTACTTTGTTTCAATTTACAGATCCATTGAAAATGTCTCTAATGAAAATAATAAATAGACGAGCAAATATGGTCATACCTGCTGTATCATGAATGAAAGACTATCGAATCAAAATTTTGACAATCTTGTTTTTTGTTCTTTTGTAACGGTGAATAAATTTTAAAAAAATGAAACTACATTTGCATTCTTCCCGTTCTGGATCCTTGAAACTCTTAACTCAGAAAAATTTAAATCTAAGTCTAACTACTTCCATACGATCCATTTTGTTGATTCGTATAACTGTTAAAGATTCACTTCTATCGGAAACACATTCACTGGAGTATTTTAACAATACTCATCAAAGTAGATCTCATTAAAATGTTTTTTTTACAATAAGCGCACCTTTCAGAATGGATTAGTGAATGCAATAAAACTTCAGCATATAGATAATAAACTTCTGATACTTAAAAAGCTCATATACAATAGAGATCTTTCAGATTTTCTGTTCAGATCAGTTTGCGGCACAGTTACTTCTTTAATTCTCAGAAATGCCACAAAATCGTAAAGATCACCAGTTCGCTACACAGCGGCAAGGACACACTGAGGTCTTTGACGGTGTGGGTGAAATAAAAATAATCACATCCACACCCACACCCTCACCCTCACCTTCACGCTGCCCTGACCCCTACGCTCAATCATACCCATGCTCACCTTCACCCACACCTCTCACCGTCATCCACACCCAACCTCACCGTCACAAATACCCTTTTAAATGTAAATAGACACAAAAAGCTCGCGAAATAAGTTGGAAATTTTTTGTCATACTCTCCTATCAAATTGATTGAGAGAAACCATTAGAATAACATATTTTCACCTATTTTTATTTCGAATTCTTTACTCTTTCTTTCAGCATCATATTATTATACGTTTTGCGCCTTTTTCATTGTTTTTCGATACAAAATAAACATGCACACTCTTTCTTAGCTGTCTTGATTTAATTCTTTAGCTATTGACGCTTTTTTACAAAACCGAAGAGTGTTAATTATAATAAAGACGTACGTATTGATACTGCCGCGAAGGCGATAACAACAGTGTCTTCTAAGAAGATATTTTAAAACTAATAGATTCCTTCATAATCTTCATGCTAATGTATGCTTCGACTATAAAGCTTGATAAATATGATCGATTAGCAGCACCAAAATCAGCTTAAACCATTCTCAGCCTTGAAAAGTTAGAGATTCTTAAATATACCATCGCGAAGAGTATGGGTGAAAAGAATATCAACGTTCACGGTCTTCGGAGTGCGGGTGTGGGTATAAGATTGATCTGATCAAGCACACCCATACCGTCAAGGTGGTTATTTTTGTACAGAGAATTCAAACAATAATGAAACTTTATTAGTTTTTATTAAATGCTTAAATGAAATCAAAATTTTAATGCGGGAATATAAAGCTGATGCTAATAAGTAGCGAAAAAAGTATAATTTGTCTCTTTAACAGCAGTTTCTATGGCATTCTTAACAGTTGTGTGATTAAGAGCGGCGGCTCAAACACCATACACTTATTCCAATGACGGCTGCTATTACTAAAATACTACCAAATACACTTCCAACTATGATCGCAGTTTTAGAATCTTCAAATACAGAAAACATACAAATTCTTTAATTGAATTATTCAATAAGTTCTTTAATGTTTCCCTCCTTACCATCGTTTGTGCTTATGAAGGTCCATGCAGTGGTTGTAAATGGATAAAGTGTTGGTGTATAAAATGAACTTCTAAATAAAAAAGTCATATTTTTCGATGACTGTTGGCTAAAAAGTAAAGAGGATAATAAATTGAAAGAATAAAACTAACATATCGACGCATAAATTATCCATACCAAACTGTGTTCCGTTTACTTCTCTCGGAAACATGGGATTAACAATTCCTCCCAAAGTAGTGAAAATAATGGTGTCAATATAAGTCCAATTTAATACTATAAATGACGAAATATTCGTCTGGAGTGTTACTGTTTGTTGATAAATTGTTATTCCATTTCGTTTTCCATCCATTGATAAAGTCAAATTATCCCACCAAAAAGCAACTGCGCTAAACGAATTTATACTAAAAGTAGAAGCTGTTGGAGAACTAATCGTCATGGGATTTCCATTATTATTGAACGCGTCGTATTCACTTCAAAGAGCTGTATGATTACCGGCTATTGAGTTGAGAAATGGAACATATATGTAAACGACATTAGACGAAGTTAAATCGAAATAATTGTTTGGCACCAAATCTGCTTCAGATACTGCAGGTAAATCATCAAAAGTTATAAGTGTATTTGGGGTTGTACAGTTGTAGTCACTGCGGACGATGCCAGGAAATGATAAACATAGAATGAGTAAAGCAACTGAATACATCTCTTTGTGCATTGTTAACTGGAATTATAGTATTGAATGAAAAATGAAAAGTTTTGTTTATATACGAACAAAATATTTTTCGATTCCTACTTTCATATAAAAGTACATCAATAAGCACTTTATTTAACGACGCATTTGTATTAAAAATGCACAAGTGGGAAAAAAATCTTGTTCACCTAGAGTATGGCTGTGAATGTGTGAGAGCAGACAAGCACCAAACTGTTATGGAATATTCCTTATTACATTTACAAGGAATTATCCCATATA